AGGCACATCAAATGCTGTTAGCCAGGTTGATGGAGTCTCAGATATGGTATCAGGTTGCTGGCTCTGTGGGAAGAGGGTTTAGAAAAGGGACAATGGCCTCTGCTCACCTAGATGCCAGACACTCAGTTTCTCCCTGTGTACTACTGGTGCTGGAACTCAGAGGGAGTGAATCTGAGTAGGTCAGTCTGTGTGTGGGTTTTTTAAGAGGAACTGCTTGGTTATCCAGCAGTTTCTTCCACTGACTCAATCTGCCCTGGTTTTTGTGTCCAGAAGTTGTGAGGACTTATCTTCCTGGCACTGGAATCCTGGGCTGAGGGGCCTTGGTCTCCTCGTTCCTAAGATATCCCTCCTGAATTTTTATCCACCACATGTGGGTCAAAGACCAGGCTGTTCCACCTTAATGCCCCTGCTATCAATCTGGATGGGTGTGGTTTCCTTTAATTCTGTAGTTGTCACACTTTCATTCAACTCGATTTCTGACAGTTCTGAGTGATGATTGTTGTATATTTTAGTTGTGATTTTGATGTGGTTGTGTGAAGAGGCAAACCATGTCTACTCATGCCACCATCTTGACCAGAGTCTTCAAGACTAATTCTTTCTTCTGCCTTATTAAGTCTGTTGTTGAGCCCCTCTAATGAATTTTTTTCATTCAATTTATTGTGTTTTTCCACTCCAGAATTTCTGTTTGGTTCTTTTTAATAGTTTCTGGTTTTTGATGTTGTCATTTTGTTCATGCATTGTTTTCATAATTTTATTCAGTTGTCTATCTTTGTTCTCTTTTTACTCACTGAGAATCTTTATGACAGTTATTTTTAATTCTTTTTCGGGAAGCTCATAGATTTACATTTCTTTAGGGTCAGTTTCTAGAGTTTTGTTTCTTTGATTGGGACACGTTTCCTTGTTTTCTTCATATGCTTTGTGATGTTTTGTTATTGAGGTTTGGGCATTTGAATAGCAACCATCTGTCTTCATGGACTGGCTTTATGCAGAGGAAGACCTTCAATGATCAGTCTAGCTAGAGATTCTAGGACCTCTCAAACCATTTTAAGGATACATCTCTGTGCTTGTGCATGTGCTTTTAGTTGTCTCAAATTCCCTAAGGAAGCCAAAATAAAGTTCCCTAATGATTTTGTCCCTGCTTCTTCTCAGAAGCCTGTAACCTCTTGCTCTGCTTGGCCTGTGTCTATGGAACTACAGCTCTAACATGCAGCAGTGGTTGTGTTTCTTTTCAGTGGCTTCCAAGCAAGGCCACTAAAAATCCAGTCCCTTGGGTAGTTCCCAGACAAGCAAGAATGTTAGATGCAAGGTCTACTCTTTTGTTTCCATCCTGAGAGAGGATCCACATTATGGGAGGTTTCTTCCCAGTTTTGCCATGCTACGTCAGATAGGGGGATGGGCATGAAGAGGCATGCAGGGTACCATGAATTTTTGTACCCTTCACTGGGATCTCCTCTTGGTTTTATACTGGTCTGGGTGCTATAACTTCTCAGTTGATCTCTAGAGTTCTCTTGAAGATGTTGTGTTCTATATGTCATTGTTAACTCAGTGATTCTGTGTCAATGTGAGGTCCTGAAGCTCATTAGTCTACCATCTTGCTCACGTTCACCCCATTTGGTTCCTTTTTGGAGCTTGTATTTCTGTGTTGAAATTCTTCATTTTTTTCCATCCATTTTTGTCCATCTTCCCTTCTAATTTCTTAACACATATTAATAGTTATTTTAAAATTCCTTGTCTAGTAATTCCAATATCCATGTCATCTGTGCATCTTCCTCTATGGATTTTTTCTCTGATCATTTGTAATATTTTCATATTTCCTCATTTCTCCTTTTAAGCCTTTTATGGCAGAGCAATTAAAATTACCATGGAGATTAGACTAAATGTTACTATTCCCCAGAGAGGTCATGCCCATTCCCCTATCAAACAACTAGAATGGGAGACTCATCACATCACTCATCCAACCAAAAGTTAGCTGTGTCAGAGCTGTGTTGGTACTTTTGTTATTTTCTGTTTTACTTTCATTTTGCTGGAATTTTTGCACAGGGTGAGATCTGTCCTAGGTGTATTCCAGTTCCCAGCTCTTAGCAGCAACTTTAGGTCTAACCAACATTAAATTATGAGTATCCTTCTGTGTTCTAGCTCAGGTCCCAGCTTCCTATGTGTCTATATTTTCAGCAAGTCCTGCCTGTGGGGTAAAATCAGCAGGAGGAGAGAACCGACTGTTTTTTAGGCTTCTCCATATATCAGTTCATCACACTATCCCACGATTATTACAAGCCCCATTACATTTCTCCTAGCCCAGCAACATTCATCTGTGTGTGACAAGCCTCACTCTGTGTCCCCAAACAACACAGATATCCCCAGGGAGGAGAGCAGCCACTGGTCTCTACTCATATCATTGTTTTTCTCAGGAATGTAGTTCATTTAGATTTATCTTGATATCCACAGTTCTCTGGAGTCTTTTTAAAAATCCACATTTTTTTGTTTTGTCTGTTTTCTTGTTATTTTGGAGGTTATAATGGTCTTTGGTAAACTACATCATAACTGGTAGCAGAATTATCAGCTCATATTAATCCATTTAGGAATTGGGATGATTCAAAGTTAGCCACCTCCAATTGTACTCTTAGTACATATTCTGTTAAGGTCCTAATCCAAAGCCTGGAAGCAATTTGCCATGGCCTCTCCCATCTGACAAGCCCTGAATGCCTATTTTGTCACCCAACACCTGTAAGCCCTTTTGGGAAATTATCTTCAACTTTCCCAGCCAGTAAGCTTCCTTCTCTGAAACCAGAAAATGCTTTTCTAGGAATACTGTCACTGAATGTCAGGCTCATCTCTGAATTTTCCTCCTTTCCCAGATCTTGACCCCACAATTACTTGCTGCTTTGGGTTACCTAGTAACTTCCAAAAGATGCTATTTTATTCCGTCCAGCTACTTTAGTTGCTCTCAACAGGATGATTGGTCTTAACCATCTAGTTCATTAGCAGAAGGAGATTCCCTACTAAACTTTGGGTCTCTGCCTACCAAAGTCCTGAGACTGTAGTTTTGAATAAACTGGCAGAAGTTCTAGCTCTTTCCACTAGGAGTTTATGAAGATGTATATTCAGTCTCAGTGGACCACTGGAACCATTACTGCTCATTGGTTCTGACAAACTCAGTGGGAAACACTGCTAAGCAGACTAACAGCAATAGCAGATTGACTTCTTCGGGATTTCTGGGAAATCAGAATAATAGTCACAGTGTATTACTTTAAAGAACCTTCTGCAAACCACAAGCAGCTATGGCATACTCTTTCATGAGTTTCTCTTTGACTACTTAGATGTAGGGAGGGTGTTTATAATCCTCCATCATTTGTGTTCCATCTGGATTGTGGTATGGGCCCAGACACATTCTGCTGGGTGGGAAAGAAAGAGAGGAGAGCTAGATTTTATGCTGCTGTATCGCAGTGTGCCAATGGGGTCTCACAGTGCCAGAAGCCCTCAACCTGGATGCTACAGTGAACCCACTAGCAGGTTGAGTTTAGGTGTATTTGGGGCGAGAAGTAGGTGAAGGTGGATTGGTTGGCCTTAGTTGTAAGCAAAGCCAATTCTCCCACATAGCATGAAAATGCAAGGGATTGTGAATTTCTTACTCCCCCCGCCCCAGGGAAGAGAATGGGAAGTAAGTGCCACTGGTGAACGCTGAGTTAGCACAAGTAAACATTTAGATGAGTAACCCCACCTACATACTGAATCTAATGGAGTCATCAAAGAGTCTGCAGTTCCTCTTCCTCAGGCTTTGTGATCAGTGTTCAATCCCACTGGCAACTTCCTGACCAAAAACAATATTAATTTGCTATTACCTGGTCTGGGGAACAAACATAAGGACCTTGAGGTCCCAAAGCTTCTGTTAAGTTTGTAGAAGTGGCCTCAGATTTTCTGTGAGATTAGAGTATACTGACTGTGCAAATGTACTTCCAATTTCCTCCCCAGATGGATTCAGTTTGAACTCTGTCCACTTTGAAGCTGAGCTACTGAAATGAATTATAGGAATGTTTAACCTTTGAAGCATGCCATATCCCCAAATTTCTATTAAAACTATAGATTAAACTTCTGATTATGACAACTGAGCATTAAAAACTGAGCCACTTCTTGGTACATATCCAAAGGAAATTAAATATGGATCTGAAAATGATATCTGCATTCTTCCCTGGCTGGCATAGCTCAGTGGATTGAGCACAGGTTGCGAACCAAAGTGTCGCAGGTTCGATTTCCAGTCAGAGCACATGCCTGGGTTGCAGGCCATGGCCCCCAGCAACCGCACATTGATGTTTCTCTCTCTCTCTTTCTCTCTCCCTTCCCTCTCTAAAAATAAATAAAATCTTTAAAAAAAGATAAAAAAAATGATATCTGCATTCCTGTGCTCATGCAGCATTATTCACAATAGCTAAGATACTAAAACAACCTAAATGTCTGTCAGTGGACAAATGGATAAAGAAAATGGGATATGTGTGTATGTATGAGTATATACATGCCATTTTCATCAACATAGATGAACCTGGAGAACATTATGCTAAGTGAAATGAGCCAGATACAGAAAGGCAAATATCATATGATCTTACGTATATGTGGAATCTAAAATAGTCAAACTCATAGAAGCAGAGAGTAGAATGGTGGTTGCCAGGGGTGGGTTGGTGGAGGAGAAGCTGAGGAAGTGTTGGTTAGAGGGTACAAAGTTTCAGGATGATTTCTGGAGATCTAATGTACAACACGGTGACTAAAGATAACAATACTGTATTAAAACTTGCATTTTGCTAAGAAAGTAAATCTTAAGTGTTCTCACCACAAACATGGTAATTATGTGAGTTGATGAATATGTTAATTAGCTTGAATGAGGTAATCATTTTTCACAATGTGTGTCAAAATATCAATTTGTAAACCTTAAATATATGTGATTCCTATTTGCCAGTTATAACTCAAGAAAGTTGGAAACAAAAAACTTACTTGAGTTGATTGTCTTTCAGGTATGAGAGAATTGAAATCCCAATCCACATTGTACCTCATGTAACCATTGGGAAAGTGTGCCTTGAATCAGCAGTTGAGCTGCCCAAGATACTTTGCCAAGAGGAGCAGGATGCATATAGAAGGATTCACAGGTAGAAACTTTCCTTGCTCCTCTTCTCCACTTCTAGATCCCAGTCTCAATTGACCTCTTCTGTCCTTTCATCTTAGCAGCTGAACTCTTGAGCACACTTTCCTTTTCCCTCTCTGTGAGAATGCTGTGAGAATGGACTACAGCGGTCTTCAAACACAGTGTTTCTCACACTGTATGAAAACAGTGTTAACGTTTGTTCATCTCCTGCTGCACTTTGGATCCTCCAAGGGCAAAGACACGTTTTTGGATGTAAAAAAGTAATAAATTACAATATCTTAGTAGCCCTGATGCCAAGCACTGGGTCTTGCCCAATACTATGCGAAGGCTTCAGTGAGACAGTAATTTCAACATCATCTCTTTGAATTACATCAAAGTTCTGAATAGAGTCACTTCTCAAAAATCGTGAAAAATTGAATAATAATGGGAATTTAAAGTATACATATTCATCTAATCCAGATTGGCAGAGGTCTGGGGCAGTTTATCATTTTGTTATATAATCCATGACCCTTCACTGCTGCTTTGTTACTAACCTAAACTATTTTATCCCTTTAGTCTTACACATCTGGATTCAGTGACCAAGATCCATAATGGCTCAGGTAAGATATTTTTTTCTTGAGTATAAGCAGTATTCTCTGAAATACTAAGGTGATAGGAGTAAATTTTGTTTCAGTGACTGAAGTGATGAGTACAAGTTATCCTCAAGTTTCACTTCCCAAAGCTTTGCCATTCATTAATCCTACTTCCAACTTTTCTATTGAATGCCCTGGACTGGAGGAAAGACAGGAACAAGTTTTATGATAGACCTCCTCAGCAGTATGCTGGTACATGTTTAATAACCAGTTCTCAGGGAGCAGGGAGGGCTTTGATTTGGTGGTTTTGCCTGTTTCCATGGTATAATATCCCTCCATGGCTCATTTCAAAGCACTAACATGGCCTCAGTCAGATCACAAACTTTCTGAAGTTTCAACAGTTGGCTTTCATGAGGTAGTCTAACTTGGTTCTAGCACAGCACTACCATCCTATTGTGGTGGGAGTTGAAAGACATGGATGGACAGACAGACAGATGAAAGAGAGGGTATGAGGGAGGAAATTGTTTTATGCCAATAAATATAGAAGGAATACCTATACAAGTGCAAGGAACAGCAAGCTCAATACAATACATAAAATTACTTTTTGGCAACATACACAGCTATACACCCACACTTCTTCTCTAACCCTGACTCTCAGGCCATTCTGTCCAGTCTTCCCCAGTGGCTGACAGAGTCACCAGTGAAGAAGAGGGGGAAGCTTTCAAATGTTACAGATAATTACTTTGCAGAGAAAAGAAGCGAGAGATGGCTCAGTATATTTGTCCCATAATTTCTGTCTGGAGGTAAAACCTGACAAATAGTTAAAAGTTAGTAATATACCAAACTCTGTCCAGAAAGTCTCCAGCCATTTACTATGAAATATAGAAATATTTATGGTAGAAGATACAAGAAACATTATACATAGGACAATGACGCCTCAGTCCCCTTCAAAGTAAGCACCTTGAGACCTAACACAGTTCTCTTGGCATCTCTTCCATTGTTCAAAATACTCTGCAAAATCCTTTGTTGGAATTGTCATCAGCTGCCCTGTTGTATTTTTCCTGAAACTCACTGATGGTCTGAAATCCTTTCCCTTTCAAATGTGATTTTAGTTTTGAGAAAAGCCAGGAATTGCAGGGTACAAAATATGGGCTGTAGGGGGACTGAATCACCTGGGTGATTTGATGTTTCCCAAAAAACTTGAACAATACATGATGCATGAGCAGGCATGTTGTTGTAATGAAGCTGCCAATCACCAGTTGCCCATAGCTACAGCCATTTTCATTGTATTACATCTCTCAACTGATGAAGAACACTGAGGTAGTATTTTTTATTGTTTGGCCTGGAGCAGCATGCTTGTGATGGGCAACACCTTCCCAATCAAAATACAGTTAACATGGTCTTGGTCTTGCTGCGACTTTGCCACGCCTTCTTTGAGCATGGAAACCAGGTGACTTCCATTGGAACGACTGGGCCTTCGTTTCTGGATCATAGCCATAGATCTACGATTCACCTCCAGTTATGACCTTCTTGAGGAAATCTGGGTCACTGATAGAGGTTTGAATCAAGTCACTAGCAACTGCAGCACAATATTACTTCTTCTCTGGAAGCAGAAGCCGCAGAATGAATTTTGCCACATGTGTAATGTCAAGATCCTGAGTCAAAATCTTGGACACAGTAGTTTTTGTAACCTCCCAATCAGCTTCTGGTTCTTGCACTGTCAGCTGCCAATCTTTGTTGATTGCAGCTCATACATGTTCAGCATTCTCAGGTGTTCTGCTTTTTGCAGGCCTTCCAGAACAAGGATCACTTTCAACAGATTTTTGACCATCTTTAAAGTGTTTGTGCCACACTTTTATTTGCACTACACTCATTGCATCACACCCAAAAACCTTTTGAATCATCTGAATAGTTTCCATGGAGGAATGTTCAAGCCTAACACAAAATTTGATGCAAATTCATTGCTCTACTCAATCATTTTGAATGCAATGGCTACATAGTACCACCCTCACTGAGTAGGACAGTGAAGTTGTCATTAACGCATGCACATTCAAGTCTACTCTCCTTGGCTGCCAGGTTATGTTATTGTCGCGCAAAACATTCTATTAACAATTGCTGGACTTTTTCTGGACAGACATTGTATAAAATGTTGCCATTCTCTAAAGCCCCACAATATTGTAATTTAAGTCAAAAGGGGACAAATCAGTAGAACCAAGCCAAGGAATAGGGATGTGTGTGTGTATGAATTTATATTTAAGAAAGATATTACTTCAAATCAATTTTAAAAGGATGAATTATTTACTAAATAGTATTGAGATGATCCATTTTTTAGTTTATTCATTCAAGAAACATTTGAGTACCTGCTCTCAGCTAGGTACTATTCTAGGACTGGGTCATAGTCCTGAACAAAAGCGACAGTCCTAACCTTCATGGACTTACTATGTATTCAATTTCCATTAGGGGGAAACAGATTCCTAGCTAACTTCCTACACAAAAATAAATTCCAGCTATATTTAAACTTTTACTGTTAAATATGGTACAACAACTTTGGGAAAGGGGTTAGCAATTACAATGACCAAATGTCCCACCAGCTCCTCTTCTAGGCATATACCCCAAAGAGTTGAAAGCACGTGTTCAAACAGAAACATGTACAGGAATGTTCATAGCAGCATTATTCACAATAGCCAAAGAGTGGAAACACCCAAGTGTCTGACAGTGGGTGAATGGACAAAGTATGATCCATCCATAGAACGAGTACTGCTCAGCAACAAAAAGTATAAACTACTGGTACATGAACAACCTGGATGTATCATAACAGCAGTATGCCAAGTGAAAGAAGCACCACACAAAATGCTATATATTCTGTAGTTCCATTTATATGAAGTTCAAGAACAGGCAAAATTATTCTATGGTGACAGCAAGCACATTAGTAGCTGTGGGAGCCAGAGCTGAAGGTGCATTGACTGCAAAGGTACTTGCAGAGGAGCCTGTGGGTTGATAGAGGTGATCCGTACCTTGACTAGAAGTGGTTATGAGGTGTGTGCACTTGCCAAAACTTACTGAACTGTACATTTAAAATAGGTTCATTTTATTGCCTGTAAATTACACCTTTGTAAAGCTCATTTTAAAAGGAAAAAAAAAATACAGCCATGACTGGTGCGGCTCAGTGGATTGAGCACTGGCCTGCGAACTCAGTGGATTGAGCATTGGCCTGCGAACCTGTGGGTTACATTCCCAGTCAGGGCACATGCCTGGGTTGTGAGCCAGGTCCCCAGTAGGGGGTGCACAAGAGGCAACCACACATTGATGTTTCTTTCCCTCTCTCTGTCCCTTCCTTCCCCCCTGTCTAAAAATAAAATAAATAAAATCTTTTTAAAAAAGGAAAAATATGGGAGGAAAATATAAGAGGGTATTTTTCAAACTCTAAGGAGGTAATGGCCTAAATATAATCTGAAACCCTGAACTCAGAAAGAAAAGAAATAAAAATTAAAGACTTTTATAGACTCCTATAGAAAAATCAAATTGCTCATAATAGTTTTTTAAAAAAGTATAGATTAAGACAAAATTATTAGTTTTTCACATTTTTTTGGCAAAGATTAAACTGAGAAAAGTGAACATACATACCCATGTATTGTTCCTGGAAGTATAATTTAGTATAATCTAGAAAATGCTGGATAATCAGTTTTTAAATATGCAAGGACTTGTATATAGCAACTCCACTTCCAGAAATGTATCCATCAAAACTTTGTAGGACGAGGGTACAAAAATAAATTGAAAGGGTATTAACTGCAGTCTTTATAATAGCAAAAAAACAGATGCCACTGAAATGTCTATCAATAGAGGATTTATTAAATTGGTATATCCATTCCAATGAATATTGTACAGCTCTTAAGAAGGAAAGCTAGATCTTTACTGAAACAGAAAGGGGTCTATAGCATATTGATGTGAGGAAAAAGTAACATCCAAAATCAATTTTTATTCTAAAGTATACATACACACATGTACACACACATACACATACACACATATCTTGGGAGATATATCCCACCATATTACAGTGGTCATTTTCAGTAAGTCATGTACTATGAGAGAGAAAAAGATACTTCTGTTAGGTGGAATTTGTTTAAAAAAATTAGAGTGCCATCAAATCCTTGTCTCACCATGAAGCTAAACAATCATAGTAAGGCATGAAAGATGATAAAACTCTCTTACTCTTCATCTCTGGTTTTTCCTCATTTTAAAGAAGATTTCAAGTGAGTTAAAGTAATGTATTTATTTCTTCAGTGTACATAACATTTGCAAAGCAGTTTTCCCACTGGACTTGTGGAAAACTAAGTTACAGAAGGCAGAGTTCTAGCTCTCTAGGAAGTTATTGTCATTTATACTGTGGGAAGGGCTGAGGATTTGGAAAAGAAACCCTTCTATAGATAGCTCTTATAGCCTTTTTGCCTAAAGGAGTAAAGAGCTGGTCATTTTCTGCTCTCTGCTTAGCTAGGCTTCCCTCTGGCCTACAGATGCAGGGACGTTCAGGAATGCCTCAGAATAGGTAACTTTGCTCAGCTGTTCTTGCTTTCCTCGGGCTGGCTGTACAAAATTATCTGCCAGACCTACTTACTGCACTTTTTCTACTTCCTCCTCCATCTCCTTCTTTCTATGCTCACAGTTGAGGGGCTCCTGGCAGTGGAGGATTATCTCATGTGTTTTTTCTATTGAAGTGTTTACCAAGAACCTGTGCAGTCAGATGTCAGCAGTCAGCGGGCCTCTCCTACAGTGGTTGGAGGACAGACTGGAGCAAAATCAGCAACATTTGCAGGAGCTGCAACAAGAAAAGGAAGAGCTTCTGCAAGAACTTTCTTCTCTAGAATAAAGGAGAAGACAAAATGGGGTAAAAATTTTTTTTCAATGGTCCAAAAATTCACGCATCTCATGTGTAGGCAGACAATGGAGCATCTCTTTTTATATCCCAATGGATGAGTTTTATGTGTGGAATAAACACAAGATGTCTTCCTAAAAGTTTCATTGGGGCTTAAAGAACCCTCTACCTGTAACTGGCTTAGAAAAGACATTGCAAGATCATTTAAGGAGAATATTAAAGGTTGTTTTTAAAGGCTGTGGAATGTGCATTGGCAAGGGTAACCTGTAATACAATTTCTGGGGAGAGTATATTTCAAATTTTTATTTCCCCTTTTTTAACTTGGAAATATTTATATTCATTTTTAGAGGCACTCTCTAGAATAAGCTGAAGGAAGAAAAGTATTTAATGTTTCAGTTTTGTAGTTATGATGTTTATGTTACATAAATAAGTACACAAGGATTATGTCTTCCTTCTTGATCTCTGAAATATATTCTGAGATATGTCTCAAAGTTGAATCTATGTGAGTGCCTTTCTAACCAAATAGATGCATTCCAGCATATTTGATTCTAAAGTAAAATTGTATCAAGAAGATCCTATTTACCTAGGAACTTCCATTATAGTATAAATGTGTTTTTCCAGAAGTATTCAGGATTTAGAATATAACAAAAACCATACTTTATAAAGTTCTGTTGTATTATTCTTACCATGTGTAACCACAAATAGTAAGTGTGTTTCCAGAAAAGAGTCAGGCCTATTGCATACTGGGAATCAGTGGGAACTGGAGGAAGTATAAAGAAAGTAAACAACAAGAGCCCCAATCTCAATATCAATGACAAAGTGTTAGATTTGTTTTTGTTTCTCCTTAGATTATTATTTTTCATGTTTTAAAATATAGTCCAGAACCACTTGCACCAGAATCACTTGGAGGTCAAACTGCATCTCCAGGTGGAACCCAGGCATTTTCATGAACTCCCCAGCTGATTCTAAGGCAAACCACTACCCTAGGCATATGCAGTATAAATGCTGTATTTTCTCTAATTTCTCATAGCCACAGTTCTTCTCTATTTTTTTTTTCTTTCCCTATAGGAAAAATGAACGTATCCAAGTATAAAATTAAATAAGCTAAATCAATTTTGAAGAAAAAGTTGGAAGGACTCACATTACCTGACTTCAAGACTCACTATAAAGCAGTATTAAGCAAGATGATATAGTATGTGACCAACTGATTTTTGACAGAGATGCAAAAACAGTTCAGTGGAGGAAGAATAGTCACTTCAACAAATGACGCTGGAAAAATTGGACACCCAAAGGCAAAAAATTAACTTTGACATAAAATGCAGTTCATATAAAAAATAACTCAAAATCTATAACATGTAAAACTATACAAAATTTAGAATTAAAATCATAGCAAAATTTTCATGATCTTGGGCTAAGCAACAGTTTCTCAGCCTTTACCTCCAAAGCACAATCCTAAAAGGAAAAGTTTGACTTTATCAAAATGAAAACTTTCGCTCTGCAAAAATTTAAGAGGACGAAGTTATTCAGAGAATTATTTGCAAACCATATATCTGATCAATGTAGAATATATAACAGTAAAAACCAACAATCCAATTAGAAAATGAGCAAAAGACATTTCACTAAAGAGGATAATATGGATAGCAAGTAAGCACAGGAAAAGTTCTTGAATTTCATTAGTCATCAGGAAATACAAATTAAAATCACAGTGATTTATTACTACATATTTATCAGAACAGCTAAAGAAAAAATTTTTAAAATACCAGATGCTGTTGAGCATACAAGCTGAATCTCTCCTACATGGCTGGAAAGTAAAATGAAATTTTAATAAAGTTAAACATACATATACCATATGACCCAGCCATCTGACTCCTACACATTTATCACAGAGAAATAAAAACCTGTGTTGGCAAGAAAACCTGTACACAAATGTTCTTATCATTTTCATTTGAAATAGCCCAAAACGGGAAGCAACCCACATGTCCTGCAATTGAGTAGTTAAATGAATTAACACCAATCACCCATACCATGGAATACTACTCTTTAATCAAAAGGAATAGACTGTTGACGCATGCAACTTGGATGGCCCTCAAAGGTATCCTGATGAATATTTTAAAAAGCAGTCTCAAAAGGTCACATACTGTATAATTGATTTATATAACTTCCTTGCAATGACAAAATTACGGAAATGAAGAACAGATTAATAGTTGTCAGGCATAGGAACTGGAGGGGTGTGGAATATATGTGTTAAAGGGATAACACAAGGAATTTCTTTGTACTGATGGAACAGTTTTGTGCCTTGATTATGGTCTTGATTTAGTGAATTTATACCTGTACTAAAACTACATAGATGTACACACACCCACAAATTAATACATGTAAAAATGAAATAAGTTCTGCAATCTAGTAAGTAGTATTATACCATTTTCAATATGTTAGTTTTGAAGTAGTACTATATTTATGTAAGCTCTTATTAATGGGGGATACTGGGTGAAGGGTACATGGGACTCTGTACTATTTGCAACTTCCTGTAAAACTGTAAGTATTGCAAAATAAAATTTTATAGCCCTGGCTGGTGTGGCTCATTGGATTGAGTGCCAGCCTGCAAACCAAAGGGTCACTGGTTTAATTCCCAGTTAGGGCACATGCCTGGGTTGCAGACCAGGCCCCCAGTAGGGGGTGCATGAGAGGCAACCACACATTGATGTTTCAATCCCCCTATTTCTACCTCTTCCCCTCTCTCTAAATAAATAAAAAAAATAGTTTTTAAAAGTTACAAGTATTAAAAGTTACAAGTATTAAATCAAGTACTAGAAATGATAGTACTTATTTTATGAAATAAGAGTAATAAAAAAAATCTAAGGGCAATACAATGATTTGAATATTTTTACAGGCCAACCTTGAGCACATGTCCCTTTTCCTTTCTGGGCTTCATTTTCTCTTTTTTATAATGTTAGAGTATATGACCACCAAGGTTCCTCTTAGCTAAGTGTTCAGTCTTTAAGTGCTAAGCATTACAAAGAACAGTGATGTAAAGATGTGTCATTACTTACCACCTGCACCAATCTGGCTTACACAACATACTGCATTCTGCTCACAACCCTGTATTCCCTTCTGGTTAGCAGATTCTGTTTTAAATCATAGCCAAGACACTGATGGGAACAATAAACATTTGTTTTCTTTGTTTTCTTATATCCTATTTATTCAGTTCATTGCATTATGACCTTTGCCCATACCACTCCATTCAAACCACTCCTGCCAAAGTCACCACTGTCCTCCACATAGTGACAGTCAATAGATGCCTTTCCTGTCCTTAATGAATCTCTCAGTCTTAACACAATTGGTCACTGTGGCTTGAAATCTGTCTCTCTTGGCTTCTGCTATTCTAATTTTTTCTGGTATTTCTCTTCTCTGGCTGTTTCTTCTCAAATTCATTCAAAGGCTTCTCTATCATTGTTTACCTATATGCAGTTGACAGACAAACCTGTTTCTCCATCTGGACCTTTGTTTGAACTCTAGACCTACATTTCCACCTGCCTACAATATATGTCCATTCAGCTGTCTTCGTGGCACATCAGTCAGGAATCAGTTAAACTAAACAGATAAGTGGATTAATTGAGCAAATAAGTAAATATTAATGAAAAAAGGGTGAGGTAGGTTTTTCAGTGTCAGAGAAACAATTTACAAATGTGACAACAGGTAAGGGTAAAATGAACCTCATGGTGTTGGATTGAAATTAGAAGCATTGATATAAACTTTTTTCCAAAGAAAAAAATAGACTCAATCCGAGATGTCAGCAGAGTAGGAGGAAGTTACACTTAACCTCCTTCCAGGACCAAACTGGAATTAAAACTAAAATATAAAACAGTCAACCTGAATAACCAACTGAAGACTAGTGGAACAGAAGTCTTATAACCAAAGATTTACAGAAGCCATATTGAGACTGGCAGGAAGGGCAGAGACATGGGCAGTGGCTGAGATTCAGGAGGGATATCCCAGCTGCCAAGGTCCCCCCTGAGGAGCATGGGGTCTTAACCCCATGTGGGGCTCTTCAGCCTGGAGCACCAGAGCCAGGAAAAGGAGCCCACATAATATGTGGCTGTGAAAATCAGCAGGGATTCAGTCTGCCAGGAAGAGATGGGATTCTGTTAGAAACCCAGGTGCCCTCTTAAAGGACCAGTGCACAAAATCTCATTTACAGCCATTTACCCTAGGCTCTGGCAGAAGGAGAGTAGAGTGGACGAGAGTCGTGCGAGGAGAGATTGGGCTGTGTGGCTCTGGGGAGAGAGCTGAAGGGACAGCTGATAGGGTCACTGCTAAGTCCCTCTCCCAAACCAAAGATGCTATCTTTCTTGTATCAAGAAGCCCCCTCTACATGGCATCAGCCTGAGGAAATGCACTAGCCCCATACTTCTGACTCTCGCAACATCCTGCAGAGCACATTTCCTTCAGAAGAGCCAGTTGCCTGAGCCCATGGTGTAGAGGTCCAGGAGGACACAGGAAATGTCAAAGACTTGGTGTTGTGGCACTGGGGCAGGGGCCATTCTCTTCCTTTCCAAAAGCCTAACGTGCACCACCTCCCATAGAAGATCTACTAGCCCCACTCTCCTGCCCCCTGTCCCCATCTGCCAAGCTAAGGCATTCAAGGATGTCTGGGCAGAATCCAGGAGAGACTGATTTTTATGGCTCTAGGGTAGGGGCAGTTCCCCCCTTCATGAAAGCCTGACCTGCACCACCCCTCCAATGGAGATCCACTAGCCACACCTTCCTAATTGCTGGGGGCCCAGACCTGCTGAGCTCAGGCTCTTGAAGAGGCCTAGGCACAATCCAGGAGAGACTGGTGTGGCTCTAGAGCAGGTGCTATCTTTCCCTCACTTGCTTGACTGGTGCCACTGTGCCTCTGCAGAGCCCTGCCTTCATATGGCCAAATCTTGGTCTGTTTGGGCCTGAACTCTGCTGGTCTCCTGCTGCTGAATCCCTGAGACCCTTCCACACCAAAAACGTCTGTGGGCACCTGGAGGTGGCAGCTGGCCTCGGTGTATCCTGGGACATTTTCTAAGTGACCTCAGACCTAGCACTGGCATCAAGTTTAAATCTGTATCAGTCTGGTGAACATCACTTGCCCCCTACCTGGTGACACATGAGAACCTACCTCATGCAACTCGGGTACCAACCAGAGGCTCTTTCAGTGACTGAGCCTAACAGGCAGCTGGCAGGTGGACACAGGTGGAGGTGTATCTTGGGGTGCCTTTTGATGACTTGCCCCCATGCTCAGTGATGGTGGAAGCCAGCCTTGGTGCTCAGCTTGGGCCTTCCCATATACACTCAGGACCAGCAGAGGCAGCCACAATCTGTGGCTAGCTTTTTAGCTCCAAAAGGGTAGCCCAGGGGCAGTCACAGGCAATGTCTAATATTGGTTGCACCAGAGTCCATCCCAAGACACCCCAGAACCAGCACACCAGGTGGCAGGCATCAGAGAACATCAGAGCAGGACCCAAATAGCTCCAAAAACAGCACATCCAAAGGTAGATCACAGCAAGTGCCAGAATCTGCTAGGGCAAATTCCGCTTCATGTGGTAGCATCTGTACAGCAGCCCTTACACTATGGTTGGGGGTCAATCCTCACATTCAGCCACCCTGAGCACAGTAGGACCAATAGCAATCAAGACTTAACTATAGTAGGAGAGTTCACATAATCCATATGAAGAATATTCCTGGAGCACCTTGCTTGGGTGATCAGGAAGGCTGCACTATTGAGCCCAACAGTATGCCAACCACATAAGGCCATCATAATGAGATTGGGAGACATAGCATATCTAACTCATACACAGAACAAACACAGAGAGACAGAAAAAAAAATGGGGAGACAAAGAAACATGCTCCAAATGAAAGAACAGGAGAAATGCCCAGGGAAAGACCTAGATGAAATGTAGAAAAGCAATCTACCAGATACAGAGTTCAAAAGACTGGTTACAAGAATGTTCAAGTAACTGAGGGGAAGAATGGATGATCTCAGCAAGAACATAAAGAGATAGTAAGCATGAAAAAGGACATAGAAACCATAAAAAATAGAAATGAAGAACACAATATCTGTAATGAAGAGTACACTAGAAGGAATTAATGATAGGTTTGATGAAGCACAGATTGACTCAGTGATTTGGAAGAGAACATAGAAAACACACAATCAGATCAGAAAAAAAAACAAAAAAATATTTCTTTTAAAAAAGAGGATAGTTGAAATGGCATTTGGGACAACATGATGTGTCACAACATCTGCATTATAGGGGTACCAGAAGAAGAAAGGAGAAATTAAGGGATTGAGAACCTATTTGAAGAAATAATGATTGAAAACTTCCCTAACCTGGTGAAGGAAAAAGGTATACAAGACCAGAAAGTAAAGAGTCCCTAACAAGATGAACTCCCTAACAGGCCCACAACAAGACACATCATAATTCAAATGCCAAAAGTTAAAGAATCATAAAAGCAGGAAGAGAAAGACAGTTACCTACATGGGAGCTCCCATAAGACTGTCAGCTGTTAACAGAAATATTTCAGTCTAGAAGGGAGTAGTACAAAATCTTCAAAATGATGAAAAGCAAGGATCAACAACCAAGACTACAATACCCAGCTAGGCTATCATTAAAATTGAAGGAGCCTATGTACCCCAATGTTCATAGCAGCATTTTTTACAATAGCCAAGTGCTGGAAGCTAAGTGCCCATCAGTACGTGAGTGGATAAAAAAAACTATGGTACATTTACACAATGGAATACTACACAGCCAAAAGAAAGACAGAACTCCTACCCTTTGCGACAGCATGGGTGGTACTGGAGAGCATTATGCTAAGTTAAATACACCTGGTGGTAAAAGACAAATACCATGTGATCTCACCTCTAACTGGAACCTAATCAACAAAACAAGTGAGCAAAATATAATCAGAGACATGGAAATAAAAAACAAACTGACAGTAATCAGAGGGGAGAAGGGAGGGGCATAATGGAGGAAAGAAGGGGAAGGGTCATCAAGTAACATCTGTAAAAGACCCATAGACAAAGTCAAAGCGGGGTAGAATTGAGGGTGGCAGGTAGGGGTCTGTGGGGTGGGGTAAAGTGGTGACGGTGAAATGGAGACAACTGTACTTGAAAAATAAAAAAAGTACAAATGTGTAATTACAAAGTAGTCACAGGGATGTGAAGTATAACCTAGGGAATACAGTCAATAATATTGTAATAATTATGTATGGTGTCAGGTGGGTACTAGATTTACCAGAGTGATAACTCAGTAAGTTATATAATGTGTAATCACTGGGTTGTACACCTGACATAAATATTGTATGTCAACTGTAATAGAAAAATAAAAAATTATGTAATATCAAGAAAAGAAAGAAAAACATACAAAGTTGTCATCCTAGCTTCAACCAGAAAAAATAAACTAAAATAAAATTGAAGGAGAAATAGTTTCCCAGACAAGAAAAAGCTAAAGTAGTACACTATCACCAAACCAGTATTACAATAAATGTTAAACAGTCTTCTTTAACGAGAAGAAACAAAGAAAAAGAGAATGACTGTTATAAAGAATAAAATGGCAGTAAATACGTACCTATCAATAATAACTTCAAATGTAAATGGCTTAAATGCTCCAATCAAGAGCCAAAGGGCAGATAAATGGATAAGAAAACAAGACCCATATATATGCTGTGTACAAGAGACTCATCTCAGAAGGAAAGACACACACAGGCTAAAAGTAAAGGGATGAAAGATATTTAATGCAAATGGAAATGAAATAACGGCCTGAGTAGCAATACTTATATAAGACAAAATAGACTTTAAAGCAAAGGCTATAATGAGACAAAGGACACTACATAAGGATAAAGGGATCAATCCAACAAGAGGATACAGCCCTTGTAAATATTTATGCACCCAACATAGGAGTTTTTTCTAGAACCATATAATCTTCCAAAACTGAACAAAGAAGAAGCAGAAAGCCTGAACAGACTCATAACAGCTAGTGAAATTGAAGCAGTAATGAAAAAATTCCCAGCACACAAAAGCCCCAGACCAGTCGGTTTCACAGGAGAATTTTACAAGACATTTAAGGAAGAGCTAACCTCTGTACTTCTCAAGTGATTCCAAAATGTCCAAGAAGAAGGAAGACTCCCAAACTCTTTTCATTCTAATCCCAAAACCAGATGAAGACACAACAAAGAAAAAACTACAGGCCAATATTGCTGATGAACATAGACACCAAAAGCCTCAACAAAATATTGGCAAACCACATCCAGCAATACAATTAAAAGATCATGCACTATAACCAAGTGGGATTCATCCCAGGGATGCAAGGATGGTACAATATTAGCAAATCAGTAAATGTAAAACATCACATAAACTAAAGGAAAGATAAAAATCACATCATATCAATAAATGCTGAAAAAGCATTTGATAAAGTACAGCATCAATTTATGGTAAAAAAAAAACACTCAGCAAAGTGGGTGTAGAGGGAGCATGAATCAACATAATAAAGGCCATATATGAGAAACCTACTGCCAACATCATACTCAATGGGCAAAAAACTAAAAGCTTTCCCACTAAAATCAAGAATAAGACAAGGGTGTCTGCTTTCACTTCTTCTATTCAACATACTAATGCAAGTCCTAGTCACAGCAATCAGACAAGAAAAAAGAAATAAAAGGCATCCAAATTAGAAAGGAGGGAGTAAAACTGTCAGTGTTTGCAGATGACATGAGAATGTATACAGAAAACCTTATAGACTTCACTAAAAAAACTGCTCGACCTAATAAGGGAATCTGGCCAAACAGCAGGATACAAAGCCAATATTCAGAAATAGAAGTTATTCTTGTATACCAACAATGAAATATCAGAAATAAAAATTAGGAAAAATAACACATTTATTATAATAAAAAGAAAAATAAAGTACCTAGGAATAAACCTAATCAAGGAGGTAAAAGACCAATACTCAGAGAACTACTGAACACTGAAGAAAAAAAATAATGAAGTAAAAAATAAATGGAGGCATATATCATGTTTATACATTGGAAGAATTAACATTAAAACATCCAAACTACCCAAAGCAATCTGTATATTCAATGCAATCCCTATTAAAATACCAATGACATATTACACAGATATAGAACAAATATTTCAAATATTTATCTGGAACCATAAACAACCCCAAATAGCCTCAGAAATTTTGAGAAAGAAGAACAAAGTAGGAGGGATCACAATATCTAATATTGGAACATGTATAAACTCTTGGACAAAGATCCTCCCATCCATGGACAAAGATGATGAGGATGAAGATGATGTGTAGGGCAGGGGAGGGTAATGGGGAAAAATGTGGACAACTATAATTGAACAACAATACAAAATTTAAAAGGGGAAAAGTAATACCTGATATCAGACTATATGACAAGGCCACAGTAATCAAAACAGTCTGGTACTGGCATAAGAACAGACACATAAGTCAATGGAACAGAATAGAGAGCCCAGAAATAAGCCCACATCTCTGTGGTCAATTAATATTTAACAAAGGGGACAGGAGCATAAAATGGAGTAAAAAGAGCCTCTTCAACAAATGGTGTTGGGGGATCTGCACAGCTACATGCAAAAAAATGAAACTCGACCACCAACTTAAACGAAATAGAAAAATAAACTCAAGGTGGAAAAAAGGCTTAAATATAAGTTGCAACACCATAAAAGTCCTAGAGGACATCATAGGCAGGAAAATTTCAGATATTCCATGCAGCAATATTTCCACTGATATGTCTCCTAGAGCAAGGAATATAAAGGATAGTATAAACAAATGGGACTTCATCAAAATAAAAAGCTTCTGCCCAGCTAAAGAAAACATCATCAAAATGAAAAAGGAGCCAGCCGTATGGGAACAAGTGGATCAAGAACCCATGGTACATTTACACGATGGAATTCTACATAGCAGAAAGAAAGAAGTATCTCCTACCTTAGCAACAGCATGGATGGAACCGGAGAACATTATGCTAAGTGAAATAAGCCAGGTGGTGAAAGACAAATACCGTATGATCTCACCTATAAGTGGAACCTACTCAACAAAACAAACAAGCAAGCAGAATACAGCCAGAGACACTGAAATTAAGAACAAACTGACAGTAACCAGAGGTGAGGGAAGAGCTGGGTAATGGGGGAAAATACAGGAAGGGCCATCAAGGAACAAGTATAAAGGACACATGGACAAAGCCAAAGGGGTAGGTTCCAGGGTGGGTGGTGGGGATGGGTAGGGTGAAAATGGAGACAACTGTACTTGAACAACAATAAAAAAATAAATAAAAGAATCCTGAAAATAAAAAGCAAAAGAAAGTGAAAGCAAATAGAAGGCAAGGAACAATAAAGAGCAGAAATCAATGGAATATTAGACTATAGAAAAAAATCAATGAAATCTAAAGGTTCTTTGAGAAAAATCAAATTGATAACTGTCTACCCAGACCTATCAGGAAAAAAAAAAAGAGATAGGACCCTTACATTACCAATATCAGGAACAGACGTTAACATCACTACAGATTCCAGAGACATTAAAAAGATAATAACAATACTATTAAACAAATGTATGGACTTCTGTATCTCAGCACATCACTTCAGGAAAGATACTGCCCACATAATGTATGATGGAAGCTTCCCTAAAAATGCCCCAGTAAGGATTCCCAAAGTACCATCTTACAACAGCTTAACTTCACAAGACCTGAAGATATCCAGAACTTTCATCTAGAGCCGCCAAAATGTCCTCCTCCCGCATACTACTCATTCAATTATTGTTTGTTTAGAGTGTCTACTATGCCTAGAGTCTACCTTCCCTGCTCTGGATATGCCCCGCCCTAAGCCTGATCCTGTCTTCAGAACTTTTTCTGGGACCCGCGGCCATTTTCCCAACTTTCTTGCAGTACCGCAGCACCTCAGACTTAAAATACCACCTCACGCTGTTGCAGGTCTGCATCAACCTCCACAAAAAAGTCATTTGGTGAAAACTACATGCCCGGCCAGTCCTTTCTTCAGCCACCTCAGGTGCCTCATCAATCACTAGGGATGCTGTTCCGTTACTTAGTCATTGGGTCCGGAAGGGGCGGGGCCAGACTCTTGAGCCATCACCCTCGTGGCTAGCAGTCTACCACCGCGAAGCTCAGATGGGGTCATCTGTGTCCAAGGCTGCCCTCGGGGCCACCACGGATGAGTTCATGGAACCTGAACCGAAACACCTAACTGGTAAGTAGGAGGTCTAGTGCAGGCGGCTCACAGATGGCTAGCTTGCTCTAAGTACCTCTAATGGCAGGACCTCACTCCCCTCCCCCTCCTCAGCCTTCCTCTCCATATTCTGCATAGCTACTAGACTGGTGATATTGGGTTCTCACTTCTAGTAAATTTTTATTGCACCTAGAAGAGAACTGCTGGGCTTTTTAACTCCAAACTATAATTTTCAAATAACTTAGTACACAAGAGGTGATCGAATAACACCCCAGGTTTCTGAGAAAGGTTTCCATTAACACAGTCCACCCCAGGCTTCTTTATAAGTCATGACATTAGAGAGTCTTCTAAAATGAAGGAAAGTCTATCAAGTAGATCTTCCCATAGGTAGTCCTTAATCTAAGGTTCATGAATATGCAACTTTTTGGCGTCTCTGGGCCGTAGTAGAAGAAGAAGCATTATCTTGGGCCATACGTTAAATACATTGTGACACAGAATCACAAAAGAATCTCATAATGTTTTAAATAAATTTACAATTTTGTGTTGTGCCACATTCACAGCCATCCTGAGCCACATGCAGTCCATAGGCTACAGGTTGAACACCCCTGCTTTAAAGTGTTCCTTGCAATATTTTTTTTTCTGTGTATGGCTCCAGGGAGAAGTATTTTGATTCTTAAAGTTGCCTTTTGCTCAAAGACAGAATAGCCTCCAGGATCTCCCCACTCCCCATTGTTTAGGTTCACTGTAAACAAGGACTTATTTAAATAGTATGTGCTGTTGGCAATATACCTAAATCCTACTGCTATTGAAACTTTCATAGCTGACTCAGTCTTTTCATCACATCTTGGCATTTTACTTTAAAACTCCGTTGACTTAATATACATTTGCCTTCTGAAATTTTAGCTTCTTATCATTATGACAATGTGCATGTATTACAATAATTTAAAATCTTTGCTACTTCCACTTAACTACTTGTATGCCCTTGGCTATGTTACCTTCTAGAGTCCTATTCATTTAACAAGTATTTACCATAACCTGTTATGTACCAACTACTGTGCTGCATCTTGGGGGAACAGTGGTGACCAAAATGAGCACAGTCCCTACCCTCATCAAGTATACAGAACTATAGGGTGCTTAGGCATTAAATATTGTGTAACATGTCATTATAAATTGTAATGGTTGTAATGAAGAAAATGTTTAGATTATTCCCTTTGTCATTACTCTGAGATTTTATTGCATCTGTCTTTAAAGTTACCAATTATAATTTTGAAAATTATTTATCAGTCTACATTTTAATACTTGTAATTTTCTTTAATTTAGATCTAATACAGTACATAAATGAAACAAATAAGAGTGTTGAACACCTGGCTGATGTTCTTTCTGAGAAAACAAGGAGCAGCAGCTGGGTGGTGGTGTTCAAAGCCCTGGTTACTGTGCATCACCTTATGGTGCATGGAAATGAGGTGAGCATGGTGGGTATAGAAATGGTTGTCTTTTACAACTGCAAAAATGTTCTTGGTTTGACAAAGGCTTACCACATTTTATTTTCAGTTGTGACAAATAAGACAAGTGAGGAGTGGTAGGTATTAAATGATTTTTCATTTTGCATATGAATATATCTTTGTAAGCAGTATTTAAGGTATACTATTTTAGCCAATGGATAATAAAGTGGACAATAGGTTGGATATTTCACTCAATCCTTTAAATGATTTAGACCAAAAGGGAAAGCCCCCCAAAATGTGTTGCTATATAGCTGCTTTATTTTACCACAAGAAACTAGATACTTGAGTGCATTACATTATCACCTGTCCACCTCTTCCCACATACACTTTTTATATTTTATTGAACAGCTGAAATGTTCTATAACATTAAATTAGTTACTGTTTTCTACTTCAAATTAATATTTTATCTCATTAAACTTTGCATTAAAAATTAGGATTTGAGCCCTGGCTCGTGTGGATCAGTGGATTGAGTGCTGACCTATGAACCAAAGGGTCACCGGTTTGATTCTCAATCAGGGCACATGCCTGGGTTGCAGGCCAGGTCCCCAGTAGGGTATGTGAGAGAGGCAACCACACATTGGTGTTTCTCTCCCTGTCTTTCTCCATCCCTTACTCTGTCTAAAACTAAATAAATAACATCTTTTAAAAAATTAGGATTTGGAAATTTACTGGATTTTGAAACTTATAAAGCAGTAATAACTACATAGCATAGTATTGGTAAAGATAGAACTTTTGTATAAATGCAACACAGTAGAGAGATCAGAAGTAGAATTGTACTTATGTGGGAGCTTGGTGGCACTAAAAACTTGGGGTAAGTATGGAATTTATTTATTTTTTTACCTTTTTAAAGAAAAAGTTTTTATTAAGTACATTTCATTGAGACATCTTTTTTTTAAAATTTAAAATAAAGCCTTTTAAAATAAAGCCTTTTACTTGTACCATAGGGTACAAGTAACATCCCTTTGGAAAAAATAGAATGAGATCTTTATTGTACTTCATATACAAAAATAAATTCCACATGAATGAAATATCTATAAGTGCAAAACCTAAATTTTAAAATTGAAGAAAATGTAGGAGAATATGCTTATGACATTTTAGTAGGGAAGATACTATAAAGTTGGAATAAGATTTTATATATTAGAGACAAAAGATTAATATTTAGAATATATTATCAGTAAGAAAAGGGCAGCCCTGGCTGGGTTGTTCCAGTGGTTGGAGCATTGTTCCATACACCAAAAGGTTGCAGGTTCGATCCCCGGTTAGGGTGCATATGGTAGGCAGCCAATCACTCTGACCTGTCTCTCTCCTTTTCCCTTCCTCTCTCTAAAAACTCATTTTAAAAAAACGTATCCTCTGGTGAGGGTTAAAAAAAGAAGAAACAAAACAGCAGTATAATAGAATAATGAACAAAAAAGTGAACAGACAATTCATGGAAAGGGAAACCAGAATGACTGATAGCTGTCAGAGTACATGCTCAAATGAGCAAAATTTAAAATGCAGTGTCAAGAGTTACAAAGATCTTGAGGAAATGGTAACTGATTTACTGTTGGATGACATGCAAATATTAGTTGCAGCAGTTTATCACTGCCAAAGGAGAGCATTGAGAGATGTTTAATAAAACTGAAAATGCCCAGCCTAGTAACCCAGCAAATCCAGTACTCATAGCATATTTATAATATTTAGAAAGTAGAAATCGCCTAAATTTTAATAAGTAGGGAACAGATAACTAAAATGAGGTATGTTTGTACAATGAAATACTACATTGTATTAAATGGGATGTATACCAACAAGGCTAGTACTAAAAAAAACAATGCTAACAGAGGCAACAAATTGTAAAATGATAGAGTATGGTATCATTTATATGAAATTTAAAAATGAATTTAATATTTTTCCATAGAACAAATATATATGAAGCTATAAAGAAAATAGACTAAAGATAGCATATTACAATTACAATACAGGTCTATTCCAGATAGGAGAAAGAAATGGAACTTAGGGATGGGGCTAAAGAAATGGAACTTAGGGATGGGGCTAAAGAAATGGAACTTAGGGATGGGGCTAAGGGCATTTTATCTCTAACTTTATCTCTAACTTTATCCTTATCTCTAATACTTTAACCCTCTTATTTTAAAACAGACTTGAAACAGATTTGTCAAAAAGTTAGCAGTTGTCATTTCTGGGTAGGGGAGTGGAGTACACAGTTGTATATATTTTGAAATTTTTTTCTGTAAATGAAATTATCAAGCAATGTACTATGAATTAGAATAATTCTGTAATTACTTAAATGTTCTCAAAATCAAAAAGGAGGAATGGCTAGATAGAAGTCTTGGGAGAAAAGGGTGTGTATACACACGAACTTTAATGTTTAACCCCTTACTTACTTGGGAGGTATATAAACAGGAGACAACGCTGCATGTCCTCATGCTGTGTAGCCCAGGATATGACCACACTCACCTTAATCAATGCTTGTGAAGTACCTGTATGATAGAATTATGTTAAGGATTCTTTCACAATGACAAAATCATTAGTGACCTCTTACTTGTGGGAAGAAACTAATTCTTGTATTTGGCACATTTGTTTGACAGCGTTTTATCAAACATCTTGCATCTAGAGACTCTTTGTTCACTTTACAAAACTTCCTGGATAACAGTGTCACAGAAGGTAAGATGATTCTTTGATGGAAATATTCCTATGTGGCAAGGAGGGAAAAGCTCTGAAAATCATGCCTGGTTTTTAAAAATGGTTTCAAATTATAAAAGGTGTGGTGTGTTGTACCTTTTATGATGGTAGATAATTTCTCTGCCTCAGTTTTATTCTTTCCACTTCTCATTGACTAACCATCTCTGTGTGTTTCTTTTCTTTTGCTTGTCTATCAGCTTCATGAGAGCAGGGATTTTTATCTATTTTTGTTTACTGCTGAACTTCCAGCATCTAGAACGCTGCCTGCCTTGGTAGGCACTCAACAATTGTTGAATGAATAAATAAATTTAGTAAATGAATCAAGGTATGTTTGGAAGTTGAGTTTCCATCATGGCCTTTTTTTCTCCATTTTCCTTATGAAGTAGGAGTCAAGGTCATTTGCTGCACAGGGGGAGAGTGAGGGAGGGATGACTACAATGAGATGGGAAGCTTTAGGGAAATGCTAAGAATTTACAATAGTTTTTATAGAAATGTGAAAGAAATTGATTAAGTTTAATTATTTTCTCTGTTCAGAAATGTCATCATCAACACCACATCATGAGGTGATATCAAGGCTTTTAGGAAGTAAAAAATAATACTTAATAGAAAGTTTGAGGAATGTAGGACTAGATGATTAATGAAGGCCATTCTAGCTTTTGTGCTTCAAAGATATTGTTGAGGTATATGGGTAAATGTGGAGTGAAAAGTCTTTGCATTTATTGACATATGTTGCAAATGGTTAATATTGGTTTATTAAAAATAATTAAAATATTTTATTTTTAGGCCCTACTATGTCAACTTTCATCAGACAGTATAGCAGGTACTTGAATGAAAAGTCACTCGCATATAGACTGATTGCATCTGACATCACCAAAACCAAGAGAGGGTCAGTAAATATTATTCATGTGTTATCCAGAAATACTGAAATACATATGTGCAATAATATGTAGTTTGTCAAAAACGTAGATGATTTCTTTAAAAAAATTTTCTTTCACAGCTGTATTTCAATAGGCTGATTTCACAGTGCTTCTCAAACTCTTAATTATTGATGTTATAAATTTCTTTGATCTTTTACAGGATGGATGGTATGATGAGAACTATGAATACTAAAGAGCTGCTCAACACACTTCAAATAATTCAAATTCAATTTGATGCTCTTCTTAATTTTAAGGTAAGAGCTCTATAAATCCTTTTTTAAAACTTTGGTAAATGGCATTATTTAACTATAGGTGGGGGAAGAAATTTTGTGAAACTGTACTGGTAACTAACTGCTCTTTTACTTAACTTTCAGGCAAATCCTGATGAACTGACTAATGGTATAATACATGCTGCTTTCATGCTCCTCTTTAAGGATTCTGTTTGCCTCTTTGCAGCTTACAATGAGGGAATCATTAATCTGCTAGGTAGGCTAAAGAATAAACATTACATACTTTAAAAAACTGGTAAAAACAATTTATTTGTAAAAATCTTTTATGTCTATATTTAGATTCATATTTGTTTCAGGTTAAAAATAGGAGATATTTGCAAGGTCATAAGTGCTAACATATTTCTGGGAAATTTACCAGGGAATCAATATAGATTGCCATATTTATACATTAGTCATTAAGGCCCACTCCACCAAGGTCAAAATACAGTTCAATTTTTTCTAAGAAAATATAGCCTATAACATAAGTAATTGTTATTGATTATATAGAAGCATATATTTCATAGGCCTTTCAGGAATTATCAGTCATTGTTTTGCCCTCATGAATGATTCATTTCATAGTTACAGTTCTCCAGACTTCATTGATGAGAACTTGAGTTTTTTTTGTATACTGAAGAATATGTACCTGTACATTTGTAGAGTTATAAAAGAGTAGGAAACACAGCCCCTTCCCGTAGAGAGCTTCAGAGTTTTCAAAAAGATTACAGACTAGAAGTTACAGAAATTGATACTAAACTATCCAAACAATCTCTGTATGCCATTAAATTTTAGATGTATTTCTAGCACTAGTGTTTGGCATACAGTAGTTACTCCATAAAAATCTGTTAAATATATAAATTGGGTAGTATTGTTGCTTTTTAAAACAAAATAGCTGGATTAAAACTATAATTATTTGGAACAAGTTAAAATAACCTCCAGAAGCAGCTTAAAATAGAATCATCAAAATGGAGTGAAACTTGAAAATTGCTAAGTTATTGGCTTCTACATGATAATATTTTTTTTCTTTTTAGGCAAGTTTTTTGACATGAGAAAGAGCCAATGTGAGGCAAGTTTGGATATTTACATAAAATTCCTTGACAGAACAACCAAACTGGCACAGTTTCTGAAAGTTGCAGAGGTATACAACTCTATTGCTATCCCAGGCTTTTCTGTTTTGTGTAGTAGTTTAATATCCAGTATAACTATCCCCCCTACCACTACCACCATGGAAACACACAGAAATTGGTAGTAGTTTAAATTATTTTGTAAACAGTAAAACTAAAAACTAAAATTAAGTACCTCAAATGCACTTTTCAATGCACTTATGCACAAAAGCAATTTGACAAGGATTCTGTTTGCAGCCATGATGATAACTAATGATAAGCTCACCCTCTCAGCAGAAACAACTCTAAGACTGGGACAAAATATATATGGTATCTTTTCAGGTAGAACAGGTCTGTGGTCAATGAGAGAAAGAAACACATAACGTGAGCCCCACATCTACCCTGATACTTAGAAGAACCCAAGCAGGATAAATACAAAGAGAACCACACCTACGCAACCAATAGTAGAACTTCTGAAAACAGGGGGAAGAAAGACATGTTACCTATGGGAGAACAATATGAATAATAACTAACTCTGACTCATTAAAAATTAGAACACATTTGTATGATATCCAGACAGCAAAGACTTAATATCTGACAAGACTTTTGCTTTATAGTTTTATCCCTAGGACAAGTATAAGGTTGTGCTTAAGTGTACAAGGGCTACTTTATTTAGCCTGATGTTTTTCTTGATCTGTTAGGTTGGCCAAAAAGTCTGTTTAGTTTTTTCCATAAAATAAGAGACATTTTTTTTCATTTTCACCAATAATTTTATTGCTTTGGCTACTTTGAGTATGTCGGCTATCTCCCACATGGTATAGCATTGATTGTTCTCAATTAATGTCTCTATTTCATCGCTATCAATTTCAACTGGTCTACCTGACCATGGAGCATCCATCGTCCAGTGAGAAATCTCCAGCATGAACCTTCACAAAACACTTTGACATGTTCAGTCAGTCACAGCACCTTCTCCATACACTGCACAAATCTTTTTTTGTGTTTCAGTTATGTTTTTACCTTTCTTAAACAGTAAAACATAATATGCTGAAAATGTTGCTTATTTTTTATCTTAAATGCTAAAATGGCTACACAAAAATTAACCAATTTTTTAAAAAAATATTTTATGTATTTATTTTTAGAGAGGGGAAGGGAGGGAGAAAGACAGGGAGAGAAACATCAATGTGTGGTTGCCGCTCACATGCCCCCTTCCGGGGACCTGGCTTGCAACCCAGGCATGTACCCTAGACAGGGAATCAAACCAATGACCCTTTGGTTCTCAGGCTGGCACTCAATCCACTGAGCTATACCGGTCAGGGCAAAAACCCACCAATCTGATAAGTTGTTTTTAAATGCAAGGTGGTATGACAGCTGTCACAATACACTCTTAACAAAATTGTTTCAAATGAAGTTAAAGACAACTAAGTGCTACTAGAGTCATATTTCAGAAAAAACTAAATGAACTTTTTGGCCAGCCCAAGTAGATAGGTACCAGCCTAGCAACACATTCCTGCTTTTGGGGCTTTTTCTCTTTTGTGGATACATTGGTTTCACAGTTACTTTCTTTGTTGCCATGCTCTGCTATAACTGTGCTTCCACCCACCCTGTTGTGAATTCAGGAAGTTGGAATTGACCAAAACAACATTCCATATATTACTCAGGTCAGTGTATCTCTCCTATATATTTAAATGACCTTTCTATCTTTATATTTGTGTGTTTATTATATTAATAATCTGAGAATCCATCCTTTGCCATATACTTATGTGTATTTATTTTTTTAGTTTTTAACTTCTTAATATACTTTATTTTTATTAAAAGTTTTTTAAAAGATTTTATTTATTTATTATTAGAGAGAAAGGAAGGGAAGGAAAAAGAGAGGGAGAGAAACATCAATATGTGGTTGCCTCTCACACAGTCCCTACTGGGGACCTGGCCTGCCACCCAGGCATGTGCCCCGACCGGGAATCGAACAGGCCACCCTTTGGTTCGCAGGCTGGCACTCAATCCACTGAACCATACCAGCCAGGGCTAAATATATTTTATTGTTATGCTATTATAGTTGTCCGATTTTTCCCCCTTTATTCCTCTCTGCTCTGTACTCCCCAAAGTCTATTTCCTTTGTGAGATTGGGGAAGTTCTCTTATTTTTTCAAGTAACCTTTCAATTTCTTGCTCTTCCTCTTCTTCTCTGGCACTCATATGATTTGGATGTTGGAACGTTTGAAGTTGTCCCAGAGGTTCCTAAGCTTCTCCTCATATTTTTTGAATTCTTGTTTCTTCATTCTGTTCTGGGCAAATGTTTATTTCTTCCTTCCAGTCCAAACTGTTGATTTGAGTCCCAGGTTACTTCCCATCACTATTGGTTCCCTGTACATTTTCCTTTACTTCACTTTTCATAGCCTTTACTGTTTCCTCTATTTTGCAACCACACTCAACCAATTCTGTGAGTATCCCGATTACCAGTGTTTTGAATTGTGCATCTGATAAGTTGGCTATCTCATTGTCGCTTAGTTGTATTTTTTCTGGAGCTTTGATCTGTTCTTTCATTTGGGCCATTTTTTTTTTTTGTCTCAGTGTGCCTGTTTCATAGTAAGGGGCAGAGCTTTAAGTATTCGCCAAGATGGGGCAACCTACTTGGCTACATTGTGGCACTGTATGTGGGGGAGGGGTCCAAAAGGGAACAGTGCTGCTGGCTGGGCTCTCTCCCCACTTTCAGTTACTTCCCTCACTACCCATAAGCAAATTGGGCTCTTTTGGTGCTGATTCCCGGAGTGGGTGGGTTTGTGTATGTTCTGGGACCCTGTGGGTCTCCCCAACGAACTCTTCTGTGAGTCTGGGCATTTCTGCCACCACCACAACCCCCACATGGTTTTTTCAGTCAGAGGCCTTGAGGCTTTGTTTCTCTGTGCTGGAACCCTGGGTTGTGTGGTCTTGTTCTCCAGTTGTTCCTCCTGGTTTATACACACACAAATGTGTGACTGCCCAGTCCACCAGCCACCACCTCACCTGGTCCATGAGACACTTGCCTTGCCCACCCCAGTCCTCCAGCCACCACCTTGCCGCAAGTCCTCTCCTCCCAGCTGCCCATCTCCACCCCTCCTACTGGTCTGGATAAATATTTATTCTTTAAGTCCTTGGTTTTCAGACTTCTATACAGTTTGATTTTCTGGCAGTTCTGGTTGGGTTTTTTTGTTTGTTTTTAAATTTGTTGTTGTCCTTTTGTTTGTGAGGAGGCACAGTGTATCTATCTATACCTCCATCTTGGCTGGAAGTCTTATATGTGTATTTTCATTTCCACATGAATAATATATGTATATACCAGCGATTTCAACATTTTTCATCTCATGGCACACATAAACTAATGAGTAAAATTCTGTGGCACACCAAAAAAAATTATCTTTGCCTATCTGACCAAAAAATAGGTATATTTTTGATCCATTCATGCTGGAAGGCTGTTGTTGTATTGGCTGTTGTCATTTTTTTTATTTGACAATCTAAGGAAAAAGAGGTCAGTGCCGCTGACTAAACAGATATTGCATGTTTTAAGAATCCTTATGGTATACTGGTTGAAAATTGCTGTTATATACACATAAATTTATGTCTTCTGAATAGGTCTGTGAGCTGTTGGTCTTATGAAGAGGCTGTTTCCTTTGGAGTGCTAAATGGTGACTCATAGTACAAGTATAACAACTAGAGCATGCTTTTTAAGTGCACAAAACTGATCAGTGGAAACAGCAGAATATTTGGAATAATGAACTTAGGTTTGAGGCTATGTTGTCCACCTTTCAGGTGTGTAATCTCGAACAACTCATTCCATTCTCTATGCCTCATTTCTGCAACTGCAAAATTGGTGTAATAGTATTATCTGTCTCATGGCAGTGATGTAGAAATCAAATGAACTCAGGTTTTTTCCTTCCCTAGAAGCAGGTCAGGAGGAATCCCTCACATGGCAGTGGGTGTAGATGTGAGGTACAGGTGGAAATGCAACAGGTGAGGATGAAACAAGGGTCTGGCGACCTGTTCATGCAGCCTGCTTGTGGCCTCTTGACCTGCCTGAGCTCCATTCCAGCTGTACCATACGGCTGGACAAGCCAGAATCTGTACAGAGACTTTTATTGCTCTGGGCCCCAAACTAATATGGCAGGATTTTAGATCACCTCAGCTATGGACCAAAGCAGTCTTCCCTGGTGTGAGAACATGTTGTGTCCAGAACCCAAAGAGGCCTACCAGGTGTTGTGTTTCCTTTTAAATGGTGGAAGGTGCTCCATGCAGTACTTTATGTTTTGGGCAGGATTTCCTGATAGACCCCTGGCCACTGAAACCTTACACATTTTAGTGATGTAGAAGTCTACTGAATCTTTATCAACTATCCTCTGGAGCATGTGTAGCTTTCCAAGATCTCTACTGTTCTGGCCACTTCTTGCTCATCTGATTCAGTCAGCATGATGTCAGGGATACAAGTGGATCCATGTGACTTTCTGGGGGTTAACTAAATGGTCTAGACGTCTTCTGACCATATTATGACAGAGGATTAGGTCAAAACTGTAAATGTATACTGTTGTTTATTCCATGTGCCTACCAACTTTTTCTGACTCACGCTTTTGATAACAATGGAAAGTAAAACATTTACCAAACTTCTAGCTACCTATAACATACCTGAGACTGTGTTAACTCATCTCTACCAAAAAAACTGTAGTGGCTGGCACCATGGCTGTAACTGAATTACTACTTGATTGAGTGTGCTGTAGTTTGTCATTCTCCAGGGCCAGACTACTTTGGGGGGCCATATTGGTGAATTACATGGAGATCATGGGGATTATCATCCCTGCATCCTTTTTATCTTTAAGATTGCCGCTAAGTTCTTCCATCATCCTAGAGGGTGATCTTGTTTTTTATTTACTATTAATCCTGGAGGGCAGCTGGAGGCTGTTTCAGAGGCATATCCCTACCTGGGCTCTGCTGTGACTTAACTGTAGTTAGAGTCCTAGAGACCAGGAGGGGAATAGGGGCAGATCCTGATGGAGTGTATAACTTGTGGGGCATCATCTCCAACAAAGTGGTGGGGGAGAACACTTCTTCAGGCTCAGAGGTTTCTAGGGAATCTGGAGACTCAGGACTTTCAGGCCATCCCTGCAGCTCTCCCCATTTCATAAATTAGGACCTTTATTCTTTATCCAATCAGGTCCCTTACCCTGGTGTGGCACACCTGCCTTAGTGGTGACTGGAGGAATGTACACTATTCAGACAGAGCCTGGCTTAGGTGTTAGTCATGTATATGGGGAGAAGCCTGTGAAGAGAGAGGTACTAGATTGAGGTCCCCTAGGGAATGAGAGGATATTGGATCCAGAATACAAGTGGAAGCAGTGGCCTCAAATAAGAAGATAGAGGAGGCAAAGAGTAGAGGATGGTTACAAATACAAATAAATATTAGGTGCAGTTGCAGAGAAGGAGGAAGTTTCTGCCTGATGTCTTTTCATAAATATATACACCTCTCAGGTATCAGCAGAAGCATTCCTCAAGTACTCAAGTACAGATGAGGGACTTGTACATAGACGTTGAACCCCACAGAGCGGTGCACAATGGGAACCACTGTTGGATAAATCAATGCATGGCTTCCTAAATGAGAAGTCAGATAACCAAGCAGAGAGACAATGAGAATATCTGAGCTAGTAGGGGACAAGATGGAATTGCATTGCCTAAAGGCACCATAACCAGTGCATTTCAATCAACATTCATTCACAAACATGTTTGACCCCTACCAGGAGGAAGCTGCTGTAATGAATGAGACATAGTCTGAGCCCTTGAGTTCCTGAAAAAGACAGAACAAAGACTACAAAAACATGATTGGATATCTCCCAAAATGTAGTTCTCTTATTTTTCTCCACAATGAACTCAGTCCCTTAAGGCAGGTGGAAAGGGTTTCTTTGCTGAGAACCACAGCTCAGCCATTATGGGGGCACAGGCAAGCATTAACTGACCTGGGCTCAACCTCCTTCAGTGCTCCACCTGTAGTGGATCTCTAGGGGGACATTTGACTGGAGGAGCTCTGAGAGGGAGGTCCATGTTTCCCATTGGGCCACCCTCTCTCCTTACCCTAGGTCTGGTCTCTAGGACACCTGAATCAGAAACAAAGTAGATGGCTGTCAGAAAGTCTGCAGAAGATAAGTGAGGGTCTTCATTGGTAAACTTTCATGCAGATCCCCATTCCTTCCTCCGTAAATCATCTCCTTTTAACTAAAAGCTTTAAAATATATATTTTATTTATTTACGGAGAGAGGAGAAAGGATAGAGAAAGAGAGGGAGACAAACACTGATGTGTTAGAGAACGTTGATTGCTTGCTCCCCTCAGGCCCCCAGCCAGGAAGTGGGCTGGCAACCCAGGCATGTGCCCTGACTGGAAATTGAACCTGCAATGTTACACCTTGCAGGATAATGCTCAACTAACGGAGACACTCCAGTCAGAGCCAGAAGAGGTTTTTTAAAGGTTGTTCAATTACAGTTGTCCAGCTCCCCCCACCATGCTCTTCCCTGCCCTGCCCACTCCCCTAGAAGAGCTTTTTACTTAGTACTGTGGTCTCTGGCCCTCAGCCAGTACAGAAAGTAATTTGTCATGTATGGCTTTCAGTAGCTTTCTTGGGTGCCCTGGAAACCCTGGAATGGAC